GAAGGCGACGCAGTGTCTGCAATACAGACAACACATCGAATTTAACGGAGTTTCTTAAATAAAAAAACATTTGCATGCAATAATCTACACAAAATATGTTAAAATCTTCAATAAATTTACGAGAATGGTTAAAGAATGCTACCGTAAAAATTCATAACAAAAAAAAAACAATAGAAATACAAACATAAAATAGAAATAACAGTTGAATACTAGCTCCTGTACGAGGCGGTCGACCAGCTGATCATTCCTGGCTATTTGCCAATCTGCGTATCGATTTTTCACCAGCTTCGCTCCAGTGCGAACGTGGTGAATGACAATTTGAACACGTAGTCAGCCTAACGAGGGGCGGAGGCATCGCGTCCCCCACTGTTCCTGGCCTTATTGTGCCCTATCCAGCCGTTTTCCGACCTAATTCCTGCACAAATGTTATCAGAGGGGGCTCAGAATTCTAACCATGTGCATATCTTCGAAACCATTTAGTCGTTAACAGTGCCTTTAAGGTAAGCTACTCCTTATCGGGTGACTTCCAAATCCATTCAAAAAGCTTCTGTTATTGCGAATCACAATAGACGCAGTGATAGAATGGTAATCCCTATCAGTGTTACACCTCAATCAGTCACTTCCCTTCCGTGAGCACCGTTATGAAGCTTTTCACTCTTTTGTCAGAGACCAATCTCGGTGTGGAAATTGCCGATGATACCATCGGAAAAATCTTTATTGAGCTTCTACACGTGTATGTAGAGGCTTACAGGCTCAAACTCGTCGTTGTTTCTGTTAGGCAACGAAGAGTGTTAGAGCTGGAGTTGAACCACATCCTCGTATTTGAGCGCGTCCGATTCAGGTTGTGAGACCTTCGTACGAATAGTCCAATAGTTCATGCCAAGGACGTACTGACGAGAGTGCCTGCAATGTTGTTGCCACTCGTTCCAGGGAACAGTTCTCGTTCAGTCCTCAGCCTTTGAATGGCGTTTGGACGGCGATTCCGGTTAGTTCAACGACATCGCAATTTTATCTCCCTGGCTTACATCGCCTAATCATTGATGTCCACTTCTAACGCGAGCGCTCGTCCATTGAAAGTGCAGATCGCCGTCATATGAAATGTGTTATGAAATAGAAAGTTCATTGTGTTACTGGTTATATCGATCCTCCGAGGAATACGGCTGAATTTGTGAGTCACGATTGGCCGCTTCCGTTCGATAACAGACTGAACCTAATCCGATCCTTCCCAATACAAGGCGCTCAAGGCTTAGGAAATAGAGAAGCTAGGGTTGGAATGCTCCCAAAATGACATAGATGGCGCCTATGTATTAATACCAATCGATAACGATTCATAGACATCGTTTGCAAGCCTTCTAATGCATTTACGGTAGAATCTAGGGCAAAGAATAAGCGAAGAGCCTTCCTGAATTTCTGGTCAAGAGACCAAGTTGAATGAAAACAGCAGGCTTTGCTTAACAAAGAAAATATGTAAACTCAGAAGAGGCGGTGACATAGGTAAATTTTGCGCGATCGTCCGCCTACTCAGCCTTTCATTTGCAAACCCTAAATCGATTAAGTTGTTTTGAGGCAAGTTTACCATAATCTTGCGGTAACTGTTCCGGAGTGGTGAAGAACTCGTCAAAGCTGTTGCATTTCTTAGAATAGCCGATAGACTTTAAGAAAGTAGCAAGAAAGCTGTTGTATAAAATGGCCGTCTGGGTGTCTCTCTTTTAAGCGTACTATACTCCTCGTCCCGTGAATAGTGCAGTAGTAACAAGTGCTGGCATAAAAAGGCCTTTTTGAGTGAGCGAACAACTGCGCCACCCAAACCGGTTTTGGAGCCCTTATTACGCCCTGTCTAGGCCGATTTTCGGCCCGAGTATGGTGATGTTCCATTCTAGGGGGAAGAGTCACCGAATCATTCTAGTAGGAGAGCTTTGAGACATTTTCGTCGTGAACTGTGCCTTTCTCTTAGAAAACATTCATCGTCTTGTTGGTAAACCAGATCGCTGAAACGCATACAAAGTCACGCGAAGTACCATGCAAAGTCGGCAGCAAGCAAATGGAGGAAAACGACATTACTCATGCAAAAGCAGAAGTATAGTTATGAATAATCCTCTTTTTACAACATCATTACAACAGGTTCCTTCAAGGACGGCTTGAATGTGTTGGACGCCTTCTCCTGTTGTTTTGTTTTTTTTCTACAATCACTCCTTTCTATCCAATATTTCATGTTCCTATTCGATGGGTATGGCCTTTTTAACGAACTCTTTGTTGGATAGGGATATCTTCCTTCTGCTGATTCTTGCTCGGATAAGTGCGACCTCCTTCCTTCGACATTTTCAGGAGTCCTCAGATCAGAAATGACAACTACCACAGCTACTCATTTTGCTAACTTAAGAAAGCAGTAGCATTGATCCACTGATCGAAGACCTATCAACAAAAAGGCGAAGAAAAATTGGAATTTGAAATGAGGTTACCTGTCCTTATTTTTCTAAATTATATCATGCTGCTGAAGGCAAACATGCGGTATAAATAATACTATACAATACAATAGCAAACATAATAGATTACAATATAAGGTCTGGATATGATTATCTATCGCTATTATACGCAACATGATGAGAACAGTTATAATAGAAACGCTGGTAGTTCTCAAAGAATAGGATGCTCGATAGCTACATACTTTAAAGGCTATTTTATATTGGAATTGCTTCAACTTCGTCTTATCGCAAGTGAACATAGAACAAGGTTGAGCTTTGTGTTCGAGAGAGTCAAAGCTTTGGGGTGTTGAGTATGTCTCTTGGATCTCCATAATCTGGAGGGTGATTCTAAACGTCGTGGTTTGAAAAACGATATCGACGATAGGAGCGTGATCGCATTTGTGAGGTTAGCTTTTCAGATTATAAACTCCATGATTTGGTGTTTTCTGTTATACATTATGCTACGTTTAGTGCACCACATTGACTATAACATCAAGAAGACTAAAAATTCACTGAAGAAAATTCACATAAAGTTGCAAAAAGGAGAGAATACTCGTCTCGCGCTAGAAAGAATAAATCACAAGAGATCTCCCTAAAGGCGCAGTAATTCTGAAATTAATATGACCACGACCTGCAAATGTAATCGACTATAAAAAAGGCTGTGAAGCATACGTAATTATAGAGGCCATCCATGTTAGTTCGATATCAGATGCGCATTCATTCCTCAGCCTTAATTGAGCCTGGCTTCTATCATGCGAACAGATCTAGCCAGGTCAAGTCACGTGAAGACGTTATTAAATAACGATCTAATGTGAAAGTGAGGTCGACTTGAGTTGAATTACTTTCTCGTATAAATACTAGTTAGCCCAAGATAATCACGTTTTCATCTTGACATTATCAGAAAGCAAGATGAGTAGATATGGTAGTTCTCATTTCTGACCTGAGGCCTCCTGAAGATGTCGAAGGAAGGAGCACGCAGTTATCCGAGCAAGAATTCGGCAGAAGGAAGGTATCCCTATCCAATAAAGAGTTCTGCCGAAGGGCCATACCCATTGAGAAGGGGCGAAGGTGAGTCCTTGTGTATTTATTGGCTTGAGCCTTTCGAAAAATACATAACTTAGTGAAAACATAGATGGGGAGAGCGTAGGAGACAGCACATAGCAGGTTAGTGATACAAGAAGTTAACACGGTATAACGTATTATTTTATGTTTATGTTATACTATTGCTGCGCCAGATACGAAGAAAAGGATGGGCACCGGAAATCTGTGCGCTGATATGCCGTTTTTCATGGAATGTAGTTTTTCATTCAAATTTGGGGAGGGGAGGGGCACCGGGATGAGTGAGACGATTACCCCGTGATGAATGCTGGGATGAGAGAAGAGGTAAACATTCAATCGAGTCTTCCACACTCCTTCACTCCTTTCCTGTTAGAGCTTGTGTAGAAAAAATTATATTTCCGTGGTATAATATGGAATAACACGTAGCACGTTGATGCCCTATTATACTGAGACCGCTATGTGTTTACCCCATCCACTTTAACTACATTTCCATTCATAACTTTATGTAACCTACGTTTTTGTCTCTTCGCCTTCTTCAGGCTTCAAAAAAACAGGTTGAGACCATTCCTCACCCAGGCTTGACAGGCACAAATTCCTCAGGACAGTCCTCTAGACTAGAACACTTCTGTAACCCATACCAATACAAGGAAGCAATATGGTCTACTCAAATCTTACTCTAATCGAAGCAGAATTAGATCGACCGCCCAAGAAAGAACATTACCGTGAAATGAGCAGGCCAGCAAGCATACTGATCTTGAAATGACCTAAAACTGCAGAGGAGTAAGGCATGGTGTTGCCGTTTATGATCACACACTCTTCTTTTTCATTAGTTTTTGGACTACTAACAACAGCAAAACATCAAAGTAGTTTCCCCGCCACAGCTTCCATTGCTCATGCCAAGAGAGCTACCGAAATTGTGAACTTGTAGCCACCAGGATACTGTACACGATGCCTGCCAAAGGTGATGCAGTAGGGCATCCCTCTGAAACCTGAACCTGTGGTGGAGGGTCTCCCCCTTTATCACCTGTGCACTGAGCGCCGCAAGCCTGGTAGCATATGCATTTGATGACCTCTACGCTTATTCATTCACTTCTCAATTGAAAGGGCTCGGAACACGACATAGGGTGTCACACAGTGTCGTAAATAAGCTGCGGACGAGCTGTCGACCAAGCAAACTGGACCTTCACCTTACTCAGTGGATTGATGGAGAAGGACTTGAAAATCAATCTGTGTGAGTTGTCCGTCTGAGTGAAACCAGCTTTGGAGACTTGGCCACATCTTCAGCTATCTCAACAGGACTGAGGCCGGAGCATGAAGGAAGACAAGAAGTATATCTGCTTGCTGAAAACAAGGAAGCAGCGTTGAAGGGCGCATCAATTGTTTGGCTGTAGTAAAGCGAACAATTTTACACGAACATTTACTCAACTGACTGAAAACACTTATCAAAGAAGAAATATCACCCATACAAGAAAATTTTCGACAGTGCTGATCCGTAAGTTACATCTCTAGACTGCTGAAGACTGAGGCTCCTCGATGAAACCGCTTCTATGCATTCGTTGGAAAGCGATGGTCTCAGAAGCTTGTACGCTGAACGAGGATTTTGCCAGAAATCCCAACAATGGGGGATAGACAGAATCAGTTTGCTATCCACGTTAAATTGATACAAAATGTAATGCGTGTTTTCAAACAGTTATCTCGTAACCAATAGCTCGTCTACAACCCGCTTTAATCAGCTGAATTCAGTCACCTGGCTGCCTTTAAATTCCGGCAGGGGCGACGCTTTCCCTTGTTCACAACTGAATCTTCGTCCGATACCGAATGCCGAGTAGCCCCTGGCCGGCACGCTCGCTCGCGTGCTCGGAGGCCGGTCGGGAAAGCAGCGTCTTAGTTCAGGCAGTAATGAAAAGTCGCGAGTTTGCTTACGCAGTGCCATAATCCAGGCTTTGTGAGTCTAAAAACTACGGGGCGAATGACCGAAACGTTAATGTTTAATGATCAATAATTGTCATCGTGACCGCAGGGCGAGGAGTAAGTTGCTGCATTTATTCGCAATTGATATTATTTCTCATTGATTTTCTGGTATTTTTCTCACATTTATACCTGATTGCGAGAGCGTTTAACAAGGCGAAATCTTGGCAATCAATCCGAAGTTTACAAAGCGCATTTTGCGTTTGAAGAAACTTATCTCTTTGATTAATTAGCTATGGTTGCAGATGGCGCTGCCAAATCCTATCCAGGAAAACGAGTTTATCCGGTAAGTTGATTTTCAATCACATAAGAAGCAATCGAACATGTGTAAGTGCGTACCCTGTCAAAATTGATAATACCAGCTAATCTCTACCATATAATAGGTTGTCTCAAAAGTTCGTGCACATCTAATTGGAGTAGTTAAACTTTCAGATCGGAGCAAATCGTACGGAACTCGTTCTCAAGCAATCACATCTGGCAGCTCCAAATATTCGATGAACAGAGGTCTTCGTGTTCTTGAAAAAGCCCATGAGTTGCCCAGCTCTCAAAAATTGAGTACTGTCTACAACATCGCTCACGTTCCCGATAGACTGACCGGACAACGTTATCTGTGGAAATAAGAAGTGGTGCACTGAGATAAAGTACAGGCGGGGCATCAGTGCAGGATCCATCAGAGAAGGCTGAAGCAGCTGCGAGATCAGGAATGAGCAGTAAGAAGATCAAGCTGTGTGTCTGCTGGGGAGTTCGCGCACGATAAATATCAGTGAGAACTTATTCCTCTCAGTGACACGGTAATCAGCGAGGTATTCTGCCGTCAGCTACGAAATTTTTGGCGGAGAGCCTCCAGCTAACTTCTTTGGAACTCAACAAGATATACCTACTTCACAACAAGGCAAGACCTCTTTTTTCGAAGACCATACAGCTCGAGATCGTGAAAGTCGAAAACCCGACTGAAAAATTTGGCCGCACTCTCCACACAACCCTGATCTACTCTTGTACGCCAGCAACCATCTTGCTGCAGGGAATACGATATGCCCGAAAGATCTTGAAAATGAATTAATACCTTGCAGCAGCTGAACTTCTAGGTACGGGCATAAACACCCTGCCTTTGTTGGCAACAAGTTGTTGGTAGTGACATATGTATGTTTTACATTGATACTGCATTTTTTTAAAGTTCACCTGTATCACATGTCGTTCCGTTGATCGTCGATTTCTTCGAGCGGGCGCCAGTAACGCCCCAGTCGTTCCCGTCGCGAGCCAGATTAGTCCAGTGAATCGTACTCGCCCGAGGGACACGGAGCAAAACATTTCTTTCGTTTAGAGCTTTGGTGAAGAAGTTCTACTGGGGGTCGTCCTAATGTTCGTTTCACGTACCGAGAGATCCAGTCCGTAAGTGCCCTGCCCATACAGTTTCCGATTTCTTGGTGTATTCCCTGATCTTCATTCGTCGACGGTGCTCGGAACTCCGCATTCCCTTCCGCTTTGCGTGTATATAAGAATTCCGAGCACCGTCCTTCCCACAGCGCGTTGAATGACGCTAAATGCGCGCTCATAGTGCTTTCATGGAGTCCAAATCTCTGAGACGTACGTCAAAGTAGGAAGGACAGCAGTGTCGAAAAGGTGAGTGCGAAGCCGGATGTTCTTTGTCTTCTTCACTACTCTCTCAATATTCTTAAATGCTCCCCACGCGACGCGTTTCCTTCTGCACAGCTCCGGAACTAGATCTTCATCATGTTGACTTCCCGACTTAGATATACATAGCTAGGGCACTCGGAGATATTCCTTCCGTTTAGCGTGAAGGGAGGATCAGGTACCAATCCGTTCTTCACGAACATCGTCTTCGTTATGTTCAGTCTCAAGCCGATCCTACCACAAGCACTGTCAAACTCGGCCAGCATTCGTCCCGCCTGCTCGATTTCGATGTTATAAGCACGATGTCGTCTGCAAAGTGGAGGTGATGTGGCTAGCGGCCGTCGACCCTCACTCTCAAGTCTTCCCTTCCCATATGACGCGTGACTTTCTCCAGAGTGGCACTGAAAAGTTTGGGCGAGATGGTATCGCCCTGTAGAACCCCTCTTTTCACGTTGATAATTACTCCTTCATAGCATGGCGAGATCCTGGTCTTGAAGTTGTTGTAGAGCTCACGAAGCATCCTTATATATTAAGTTGGAACACCATGGTTGTCCAGGGCTTCAATTACCGCTTCTGTCTTGACAGTATCAAACGGTTCCTTCAAATCGTTGAACGAAGGCCCAACAGCATTTTGTAACCCCGCGATGCACCAGTGAGTCCTGTAACGATGTGGATGTGATCGATTAAACTGAACTCTCTCCGAAACTCTGCTTGCTCGCTTGGCTGTCCTTCATCTAATATTCTGTCAATGCTGATTAAGATGATTCTTGGGAAGAGTTTATAGATTACAGAGAGCAGGCAAATTGGGCGATAATTGCCAATGTCGTCTGGATCTCCTTCTTATTCAGCAACACGATTTACTAGTTTCTCACGAAGTGGACCCTATGCATTGCGACATGTACCGCGTGAAAAACCCGGCCAGGGTTTTGACAATGACTGGCAGAAAGCTCTTCAGACTCTTTAACCTGCTTTGATCCTGTGACCGGAAGCCGTACCATTCCTCATCGACGTGATGGCATGTCGAATTTTGGGAGGAAGAACTAAAGGGACAACGTATCCGTCTAGCCTAAGATGATAGGTAGGCAGTTGGGCGTGGCTGTCGAAGGATCAGATCAGAAGTCGTAGATGACCTTCTCCATTGTCCTTCGGTATGCAGTAACAGTCCCGTCAGGATGACGAAGGGATGTCATCTTGGTCTTATAATTGACGAAGCTCCGGAGAGCTCTGCGAATGCTCTTCCTAGCCCTAGCTTTTTAAAAGTTAATCAAGATTAAAGTTCAGAATTTTCGAGACAACTGAATTGTAACGATTCGCCAACCGTGCGACTGATTTATCTTACATCTGGCAATCTATACTGTTATAAAAGTTATAACATTAGATATGTACATATGTAGGTCTAACACGATAATGAAAGCAAAGCTCATGTGGAGATTAGCTTGAGAAAAAAAAACTAACGAAGCTGAAGCGGTGTTAGACGTTTACGACGAAATTGACAAATAAGAAGCGATGCATAAAAATAGGGTCCCTTCGGAAGTTGAGAACATTTCAGCACAAAAAGGCATGGTCGACTCGTCAAGAAAAGTCGCAATAAAATCCAAACACGGTTTCAAATGACCTTGCATGACGGTTTTTGGATATGAGGCGATGAAAAAGCAAAGGCAATTCGCTTGTCTTCCAAATCTTTGAATGGAAACAAGAGAGTTACTTTTGAAGCGATTCATCTCATGAATAGTGAGGGTAGGGCTCCCACAAAACATTAGTACTATCTATCACGACCATTACTTCATCTCTGTCGGAAAAGCAGAATAATGTGCATGTTTGTTTGTTTATTTCTCTGGAATGTATACTTGTTTCCGCGGGTGTGTAGTGTGTGCGTGTGTGTATGAGTGTATGTGTGTGTATGCGTGTATGTGTGTATGTGTGTATGTGTGCATGTGTGTATGTGTGTTTGACTGACTTGATGTTTATGGGTGTCCGTGTGTAACTGAATAATTTGTGCTTGTGTTTGGGCGTGTATCTGTGTGTGTCTTTGTGTATTTGAATAAGTGTATGTGTTAGAATGCATGTGCGCATTCGTGAAAGTGTTTGTAACTCTGGGTGCGTGTCAGTCAGTATAAGTGCATCGATATGCGTGTTTGTATGTGTGCTTGTGTGTATATAAATATATAAATATATATATATATATATATATATATATATATATATATGTCTGTGCGTGTGTATGGGCGAACTTATATTTGCGTGTATGTTCGACCAGAAGCACATAACTCCAGCTTCCTCAGGTCCTCAGGACCGTTCAAACTTGAGATAGGTACAGGCGACAGTATTGCAGTACAGTTGGTAGGTGAATGGACTGGACCCCACCCGGATTAAGGGCCAAACTTTGCTGCCATAGGGCTAGAGCTTTCGAATTTGGAAGAGCCACAGGCGAACACTGATGTTGGTTGGCAGGGGAGGACTAAACATACAAGGTGCAGAGCGTGCGAGAAGTCGAAGGCGCGTGTGTGTATGTGTGCAAGTGTTTGTGTGCGTGCGTGTGCGCATGGTGTATATGTTTGACCGGAAATCCATAAGCCAGGTCCCCTTCTGTTCGTTTTAAATTGTCCGTTCATAATAAAGTGAAAGGTTATGCGAAAAGAAGTGTGAAAAGAAAAAGAGACATCCTATCTAGATACCATTATTGACTACCATTGGTACTACTTTCTTCTCACACTCGTTTATTAATTTTACCTTTTTGCAATTCCTGTTGTTGTTTGATCTGTTATATTTGATGTATATTTCTTTCACTGCATTTTTTCATTCTTCTCTTTTTCCTGAACACCATATTCCAGACCTCTCGCTCGTCAGAAGGAGTACGCTATGCCTCAATCAGAAGAAAAAGTTTGGCAGTAGTAGATGAAAGGCAATGGAAGCTCAAAACGTATGCTAATTTCCATGAACTAATTAAAAGTGCAGATAAAAGCTAGTACTAGAACAAGGCACCGCTTGAATTTCAAATCGTTGCATTTCAATTTTTTATTGTAATTTTGGAGATCTTGGTAGAGGGAGCACAGCCAGTAAAGTAAGAGTAAGGAAGTAAGGTGGAAATGTTCTTCGATCGGGTCCTAAGCTGTTAGTTTCGTGTCCACAGTTGAGTTGGTCAAAGCGAATGAACAATGTTTCGAAGGATTTTCAAACTACAGGAGGAATTAACGTCTAGAAATTTGATGCAGGAAAATTATATAGAGTACGGCATAATGAAGTAGGCAATGGGAAGATGCAGCTTTCCCCTCACGCGCCATTCACGAAACTACGGCAAAATGTTCCTTGGACCAAGTGTAAATTGAATGCAAAGACCACGGAGGTGGGACGCCATGGTGTCAATACAGGACTAGTCGAACGAGGTTCTACAAAACAGAGTATGAGCTCTGAAATCGAGGCGATGTGGTACAGTTGAAATATTGCTCTTCGAGGCGGGAACCCTGCGTAAAAAAGCAAGCAACGATGATTAAGCACTAATAACTCTGAGAAAAATAGTACGAGTCCTTCAAAAAGAGACCTAGCCCTATCAGCTGATCACGTCAATGCGATTACTTACAAGGAAGGTCTTTCAGGGCGTGGGACGCTTTTTGAAAATGGTTTTTTACATGGTGTAGGGCATGAGCATTGAGTATATAACTATGGTCCATTTCCGCTAAATGGCCCTCTGAATGCCAAAAAGGAGTGAAAAAGGTTTTACCAGAAATTGCCGTTTTAACCCATTAAGCGTCGTTCGTTTCAGTCATGGCGTCGACTGTCCGCACAGTAGAAGGGGCCAGTGGGGGCGACATTGAAAATAATGTGAACGGTGGCTAAAAAGGGACCCATATGTTGAAAAGTGCAGGGAGTTTCGTATAGGCTCTCCACGGTTCAGCTGCCAGAGGCGACGGTGGTGTGGTGGATAGCGATGTGGACTTCGAGGACGTTCGGCTAGGATGGGTTGATGGTTCAGATTTCTGAGGCTATGCCGTTTTTGCATTTTATGCTGCCACCTCCAGATTGGCTCCATATTGCACCAGGGCCAAAGCAAGTGCCTGACTGGTCATGATCGTGACCAGGACCAGCCAGACACATAACCTCTACAAGTCGTTGGAATTTGATGTGTGGAGCACTATCAATGGAGTAGCTTCCACGCCTCACACTCCCAGGAGTCCCCCTTCCCCCCTCAACTTCCTCACGTAGTTTTTTCATCAGTTTGGCCCACATCAAGAGTTCATTCAGTTGGAAAAATGTTGGTAAAATGGTATAATATCATTTTGGTACTCGTAAAATTCGATATCATATCATCTGGTCCTTAGACATTGTATGGACATTGCACAGTCCCTACAATTCTTTGAATGATTTGGACAGTAATGGTTTGATTGTTGTTTTATTTCGACCGAACTCCTTCGATACTGATGAAAGGCTCATCTAATTTCGATGATTTCACCGTTTTTTACCCTAGGTTGATCTCGCGCCGTTGGAGGGTTTTTGTCCACTTCTGGTTGGTCATCTCCTTCATCAGTCACTCATCTTCTGCAGTCACCTCGACTTCAGCAATGTCCTTCTTGATCGTGTCCTGCCAGCCTTTCATAGCAGTACGCTTCCTCCTTCGTGTTTGACCGTCGGGATTTGGTACTTCGGATCACGTCGCTTATTCACGGGACGTCTTAAATACATTATGCCATCACTCCCAAAAAGACAAACTTTGACTCGTCGCTAAACAAAGCTTTTTTCCAGTCATCTCTATTTCAAGCTAGGTGATTTCGCGCAAAATCAAGTCGGGCCTTCTGGTTCTTTGCGGTGACCAGTGGTTTTTTGCTAGCACGTCTTCCAAAGAGTCCTCCGGCTCTAAGCCGACGTTGGACAGTGCTTTGGCTGATAGAAATCCCAGTAAATGATGTCACTTATTTACAAATACCCGAAGCCGTCGCGCGCGGATCGCCCATCAAAGTCCTAAAAGTTAAAAAGTCCACTCTTGGTGTTGTCCTTCGTGGTCTTTCGGAGCGAGACTTTCTCATCACAAATGCTCGGCTTCGATAACGCTTGAAAACCTTGGAAATAGTGCTTTTAGCGAGATTGTATAGTTGGGAAAGCACACTCATATTCGTTCCGGAAAGAATAGCTTCAATAACTACTTCCTGGACGGATACTGGGAATTCTTTGCCTGATCCCATCTAAAAACCGCCCAATATACCATGCTTTGATTGAACATTACGAAAAATCCACCAACCTGGACAAGAAGAAGCCTAAAGTGGCGAGTTTCCAATCTTTCGACGCGCTGTTCTTTGAACTTTTCTTTTTTTAGGTATCAGACTTTTGATTTTCGTGAAACCACATAGCATGCCGTATTTTCCACATGATTTTATATCTAATATGTAACTTTGGGTTAATTACGATCTCAACTGGCCGCGCTATTCGAGAATTTAAAAAGTTTCCAAACTTTTGACCTTTACTGTAGCTCAGTATGGGAGGCTCTTTTCAAAGTTTCAAAGTTACAAATTCTAGGTAGAATTTGCAGCTTTGCAAATTCTACCTAGAATGAGGTGACGCAGAGTGGAGGTGTAACCTAAGTCTCAACTTTCCCTATAGATGAAAAATTCACTATGAGGCACACTGCCTGAAACGCCCTACACTTGAACTTAGTTGACGCAGTTGTGAAGCACGTGCACATTGCCCCCGTTCCAGCATGCTTAATGAACTAATGACATACTCTTTACAGAAAACTCCGACCGTTTCTAAGAGCTGCACTATTTATCAATATCATGGTACTTCTTAGCCTTGTGTTTTTCTGGATCTTCTACGCAGTGGGAAAGAAAAGCGAAGTTGGTTTCCATGCCTGTTTTTCACCTATTTGCGATGATTTAAAATCAGAATGTTTGTGACAAAATAAATGATTAAGGTACAGTCCACGATAAAAATGGTTTGTTTCTCTGATTTCTGAGATGAATTCGTGTTCCCCAAGCATGGCAGAAGGGGCGCTGCCGGGCCAAAAAGTGGCATAGATGGGGCTTAATAGTGGCCTCAAAGGCGGCTTAGCCAACGTTCATACTCAAAAGCGGATGAGTTCTCACAGCGTTGTGGAAGCTGTGAAGGCTGCATCATCCTCACCGCGACGCACATGCGCATGCAGGCAGCTGCGCCTTCTGCAACACAGTACTCAAAATAAAGGTCACATAATAAATACTCAAGTACATATGATTTCCAGTGGTAACGAGAGCACAAACTTATGTTGTGGCGTTTTCACCGATAATATACAATAATATTGCTTTACAGCATCTGGATTTCGAAATTCGTAGAACGCCACACACCATCGCTTTCGATAACGTTGCTGTAGTGACAAATTCCGACAATTGTAATGAAGTTGCAAGGTAAAAATCATCAATGACTCTGCTTTGCCAACCGACTTGCCAACCACGTAATTTTGTTAAATATTCGAATATTACCAATTTTATTTCAATATATTTGCCATTGAAAATGGCGTAGCAACTGGTTGACTTTTGCTTCATCAAATTCAGGCATTGACCTGGTCTTCACCCTTGGATATTTGAAGTCACTATAGTAACGTTTCTGTTTGTTTCAGGGTTTTCCTATCCCAAGGCTTATCGATGTTCGCTATGGCATTTTCCATGCAACTCTGCTTGATGGCATACGAATTGCACCGAAGCGGCTTGGGCGGCTCCTCAGCCTATGTGCACTTGGAGTACGCCATTATTCGACATTGACTTAAGTCATAAATAATACAGAAATGAATGATATTACTGGAATTTCTACAGCCCATTTGTAAAAAATTCCGTACTGTGGTTCCACGAGTCTTTACTAAATTGCTGGGACCGCTTTCCCGCCTAGTATACTAACACTGAGTGAATTCATGACGAAATGCTCCCGTGAACCCAATTATTCTGGGTATGGCTAATTACTGACGGCTCTTAATACAGCTACAGAATTTACACCCATCAAAATACTGTGAGGAAACGGACTCTCACTACAACTGCATGACAGTTCTTTCAATGAAGACTCATTCCGAAAACGGAAAAATTGACCTATAGCAACTAAAGTCGTGAAGCTTAGGAGGGTTTCCAAATTATACGAACTTTTCGGGACAAAACAGAGAGACTTTTGTGAGAAGGCAGTTTTCCCAAGAAAATTTCTCTGTCACGTGCGGTGTGAAGACTTCACCCAGAGGAAGCAGCGAACTAATTCAGATTATGATCGATTTAAAAAAAAACATTACTTTCATAGGTTTGTGTTTGTAACCAACTGTCAGCCTTAATATGTTCAAACGCCGACTCCGAGCTTTTTTGATAACGAGCCTTTGCTTTCCGGCTAAACTCACATATTTCATAGTATTCCATAAATTGGAGACGTGAAACTATCAGCCTCCGTCATTTTTTGATGTTATTTGCAAAAAGCCACAATGGTAAAGAATGGGCTCCGCAATAACGGAGTAACCAACTTATTGGAAGGGTGGGAGCTCAAACCGCTCTAGACAGGAAGGAAAGTGTTCATTTCCAGAAGTATATGTGTACTCTTATCCGAATCGTGAATGCATATATACAACTAATCCTAAATATTCAGTGCGAATAATGGGGAGTGTACGACACTGAACACATTCGGTGCCCCTGATAGGCTACAGATGAACAATATCGGAGAAGCATTCGAGACATTGAAGGAAATTTATAAAAAAGAGAAGATCCCGAAAAGAGTCAAGAGGGATCAGCCGCACAGCAGCAATCATACAGGCAATCATACAGGATGGGGAGCAGGAGATTGTTTCGAATTCAGATTCGGTGAGACCCTTTTATTATAGTTGTATTGTATAGGTTATACTAGAAATCAGCGGAATAGATTCTTTTTCTATTTCTTTTGTCGAGCAACTATACGATTAGTTGAGTTTGTCCCCACTTTTGATATGTGCACCTCACTTAAACTGTTTAACTTCAAATGGAACGGCAGGTGCAGTACATAGAGTGTACATTAGTTCACTCAAAGCTCGTTTTCAGAGCAGAACAAAATCACCAGTGAGGTAATCAACAAATTTACACAGATCACAAAAAGAGAATGCGAAAGCAGACTAAGTTGAGTGCTAACTGTAACTTGCAAAAGTGTTCGAGAAGTTTGTCAAAAATAATAATACTTGATCAGAATACGTACACAGGAGTGAAGAGTTGCGAATTGAAGACATTTCTGTTTGAGGGAGAAGTGTACCCAATATTCTTTCAGTAACAAATCTACCCTGTTCTAAGTGCCTGTGCGAACAAGCCCCTTGATTGTACAAAAAATCGAATCTTTGATTGAGGAGTTTGGTCAGAGGTTTGATTTCCGGTCCTTGCTGGAATCACTGCCAAGGTTCACCGCTGCTCTAGGTGGAAAGATGGCGCTCGCTCTCTTAACCGATCCTATCACGCGATTTGACCATCCTGTCGCTGTTCTATCCCCAAAATTCAGTATTTTCTTTGGAATCAGATTATAGGAGGGACCAATTTCGAAGGATAAAGAGGATAAGGTTTTCGACTCCCACACAGAATGGTAGTGCCATATCAAATCTTACAGTTGCGCTCGAAAGTCTTCGGCCTCACTATTTCTTGGCCGTAGTTTCTTTTCTTGATAGAGCAAATCGTTCAAAATTTTGATATCTTTAACTGAAGCATATTTCACACTATACGGCTCTATTTGACTGCGAAGCAACAATTTCCGCATTACCAAGAGGGAGGTGGTCTCTGCGGTAGTAGACTCCGCAAAAAGCAAAGTTAGCGACGTCTGCAGTTATTCGCACCTTATGTACGTTTCTCCTACACTGTGTTTGGCATTAGCGCTCGTACCCCTTAAACATGACAAAAAGGAAGGAAATCCCAAAAGGGCCATCATCCGTATTTTCAGTTAATTCTGAGTTCACGCTCTTTGGAATATCTGGAACATGGTCAGATTGCAGGCTAATAGCGGTAAATATTCACCATACACCTATGCTACACATATTGAAATTTCGCATGATCGGATCAAGTAGTAAAGAGGCTACGACTGGGAAGTACGACGGAAGAAGCATTCGGCCGAGGACTTTTGACTGTATGCGGCCTGAACAATGACCTGCCAGCCAATTTACAAGTCAGTGCTTTTATAATCCCTGACGAGTCTGGTACCAATTGACCGACCCCGGAGGTATGGAAGGCTAAGCTGGCTTAGGCAGATATCAATCCGGGATTCTCATGCGTGTGTGATATGCGCCTCTTATCAGTATACCACCTCCGCCCTGTGCAAAGTAACTTTAGCATTTCTAATTGTAAGTCAAGTTGATTGCAATATTCGCATCCAGATCGAAGTGAACCGTTTCTTGAAACAGCGGAAGCTTGCGTGGCGAACAAAGCGATTAGGTCAACTTCCACCGACACATTTGCACCATCTCCTCTCTACCGTCTCAAAAAGTAACGTCCTGTACTATGTACTATGTAAGCGTAAGAGGCCGATGTACTCTATGGAGGAGTTTATCTTGCTTACAAGTGAAGGGTGCGCCATAAATATGGTAACAACTTTTCGAACCTCCGTAATTTCCTTGTTTGGAGGGTTTCTCCAAATCTGCACGCGCCCTTATGTTTATGATACACCTTAGGCCACATACCTACTTTGGTGCTTTCGAGTCGTCAGATTTCGGAAA